ACCCACACCCCAATAAATATTAAGCGATATTTTATTTTTCAATAAATCTTAATATGTGAATACTTATGTGAAGTTACCCTCATATTCTGATAATGTTAAATTTTCCATTCCATAAAATACGTTTTTGACTTACTTTGAATGTCTCTTTGAGTATCGAATTGACCTATGAAAAAATCGTTCGAGATTTCTTTGAATTTTGATCTCATCTAAAATAATGTCTTTTGATTATGAGAAATTATTAAAACATCAGAATTTCAAATAGTCTGTGCCTACCATTTTGATTTTTATATTTATACTAGATTATCTTAAAAGATTGGTTTTTCTCATAAGATTTAGATAAAAAAATAAACCAATTGTTATTCGAAATATTTGTTTGTGCATGTAAATATTTTTGAAGTTCAAGTTCAAATGAACAAGCTAAATGTTTTTCTTTTTCCTCTTTTTTATTGGGAAATAAGATGAAACGTCAAATCATATAAAATATCTATTTAAATTGAAAAATGAATTGAAGTAAAAATTATCAACTTTTGTATCATCTGAAAGGAAAATTGTCTCGTGTTCCTGATAATGTAAGTTTTATTTATTTCAACATGAAATTAAATGCAACAACATCTTTCTAAAACAGTCGTGCTCTTTTAACTATCAATAATCGAATTATCGAATGGAGATGCAATGAAATGTCTTCTTACTAGTCATTGTCTAATTGTGAACCATTCCAATCACCTCACATTATTCAGAAATCAATATCGATTTGTGCACTCCATATGAAATGAATGTCATTGAACAACCATGAGTTTTTTTTTGCTTCTTTCTCGTCACTCGTCGTCTTATCTTTCAGTGCATGTTTTATTGATGTTGTGTGCGGTCCTTCTTATAGAGTGCTTATTTGATAAGAATTTATAAAAAAACGAAAAAAAAAAGAGATAAACACAAACAGTAACGGAAGATAAGGATCTGACACGCTGCAAAAGTAAGATGCGAATCGTTCAAAAAAAACAAGTCAACGGTGTGAGACACAGAAAATATTCTAATCAACAGCAACACATTATTCAAATTACGAAGAACTTGGTGACTTTAGTAATTTAATCCTAGTAAGTAATTTCTTAGGAAGGTTCGACGTACAAAAGAAATTACATTGACTGTTATTTACTTAGCGCAAAGAAACTGCGAATATTTTACTTCTTCTTTTCTCTCATTCTATTCATTAATTTTCAGTTATTAAAGACATAAGAAGGCAAAAATGAATATAATGCGGTGGCGACATTAAAAAGACTACGTATAAAGAGGACACGAACACAATGGTAAAATTTGAATGTTGATAAGAGTAACAGTGGAAAAACTTCCAATCAAAGCAAAATCCGTTACAGTGAGGCCAGGAAGCTTTTCTTCACTCACTGATGTAGCGAAGCTAGAGAGACAACCTTAACCACTCACAGAAATGCGAAACATAAATGGTCAATCATTTCGAGCCACAAGACAACGCGCAAATCATTGACGAAAGAACTTTGTTCTAGGGGTGGGCCATTTAATTTAACGGGACTTAATTAATGACATTAATTAATGTGTTTCATTAACCATTAATATTAAGCCATTAATATTGGCGATTAATGTTTAATGGGAACATTAATCGCCAATATTAATGACTTAATGTTCTCATTTAACATTAACTCATTAATATTAAGTCATTAATATTGGCGATTAATGTTTAATGAGAACATTAATTCATTAATATTAATGAAAACATTAACATTAATATTAATGAATTAAGTTTTTTCAAGAAAACATTAATCATTAACATTAATGAATTAAGTTTTTAAAGGAAAACATTAACCATTAATATTAATGATTAATGAAAAACATTAACATTAAT